CTGAAGGCAGCGTCTGATTTATAAACGAGTCCCTGAAGGCAGCGTTTGAACCCAGCCTGGTTCCCTGTCAGAGAGCCACCATGGCTAATACGAGGGACCCATTCTGAAGCGGTTCTGGGGTCCTACAGCGGTTCTCCAAGCTGATTGGACAAGCTGAGGTCATGGGGTCAGCTCACCTTCGTCCATGGGGATGGAGGCTCGGCTCCTCTGTGCCGCCGCTGCCTCAGGGTCCTCCTCCTCGTCGCTGTCTGGAGGCGGAGCTTCAGGTAGGTGTAGACCCATCACCTGCAGGGACACCGAGGTGGTGAGAAGCACGGAACCCGGTTAGAACCGGTTGGAGACGTTTGGTCACCTGTTGCCAGGCAGATCTCACCTCTATTCTGCGCTCCACCTGCTGCAGCTGCTCTGAGTGGGACATGTCCCCCCTGTCCTCGTCCTCTGGCTGCTCGCTGCTGTTTAGCCCCTCTGGGTCCTGGTTCAGAGGCTGATAATAATACCCCCCATTGCCCCCCTCTTCCTCCTCCTCCTCTTCCTCTCCATCTAGCTCCATGTCTCCCATATCCTCCCCCCCGACCCACACCGCCCCGGCAGGAAGGACAGCTCCGTCTGCTGGACGCTCGTCCTCCCCCAGCTCATCCTCAGAGCTCGGCAAGATCCTCTCTGGTCCCATCGCTGAGCGACACACTTCCATCCACGACACGCAGCAGGAGGGACGGACAGGAGACAACCTGAGAGACAGAGAGGAGTCAACCTGAGGGACAGACAGGAGACAGAAACGAGACAACCTGAGGGATGGACAGGAGACAGAGAGGAGACAACCAGAGGGACAGACAGGAGACAGAAATGAGACAATCTGAGGGACAGAGATGAGACAACGTGAGGGACAGACAGGAAACAGAAACGAGACAACCTGAGGGACAGACAGGAGACAGAAATGAGACAATCTGAGGGACAGACAGGAGACAACCTGAGGGACAGACAGGAGACAGAGAGGAGACAACCAGAGGGACAGACAGGAGACAGAGAGGAGACAACCTGAGGGACAGACAGGANAGGAGACAACCTGAGGGACAGACAGGAGACAGAGAGGAGACAACCAGAGGGACAGACAGGAGACAGAGAGGAGACAACCTGAGGGACAGACAGGAGACAGAGAGGAGACAACCAGAGGGACAGACAGGAGAAAACCAGAGGGACGGAGAGCAGACAACCTGAGGGATGGACAGAAGACAACTTAAGGGACCAAAAGGAGAAAATGTCCGCCAGTCTGTCCTTTGGGTGAAACAGAGACAATCTGTCCAACAGAGGACAGTCCTTTTGGAGAAGCTGCGTTTTTCCCACAGATTTCAGGTCAGATTAGGATGAAGCTAACGGAGCTAACTGGCTGCTAGCAGCTCGCTGGTAAAGCTTCCGCTAATTTAGAAATAAGTTAAGCTAAGTGATTGGTTAGCTAATAGTTAGTAGCTGGTTAGTAGGTTTTATTTTCATGTTAGTAGCACTAACCTCCAGCGCTCAGCTCAGTCTGTCGCAGCTGATGTTAGCTCCTGCTGCTAACTCAGTTGATGTCCTAACACTTCCGGATACGTCACCACGCAGGGTGGACTCTTGTGTCGGCCTATGGCAGCTTGCTACAATGAGCAGCACCGCGCCCCCTGCTGTCTAGAATCATGTTTCTATTGTAGTTTTATCCAGATTAGCATCATGCTAACATGAACTCTGGGTAAATAAATTGGTTTATTAAAAGTTTTATGTTCTAATGTTCTGGTCACCCAAAATCAGAGCGAACCTTTCGGTACCAGATCAGTTCAGAGCGGTTGCTATGACTACTAAACACACAGGAAGCTACGTCACAATAAAGCAGCTCAGTCGCAGAGGGCTTACTCTGATGAATATTTAAATGTCTGAATTTTGATACATTAGTGATAAATCTAACGGTCCACTTTAGAACATAGAGATCAGAATGAAAAATATGAATCCTCTTATTTTCTACCATAAAAGCAGATATTAGTATTTAGTTATTCAAACGATGAGAATCAATCCAACGTAGACCTTTAATTAACAGTTATAAAATGATGGGATGGACATTAACACGACTTTAAATCGGGATTCTCTCTCAGTCTGGCCAGGTTTCTGCTCAGAGTGAGCCCTCCTGTCTGCGCTCCTGTCTCTGCAGCTCATAGTAACGCTGCTCACCTGCAGAAACTCACCGAGACTCACGGAGCCGCTTGACCGACAGCCGGAGCCGCAGCCCGGCCACCGGAGTCGCTGCCTCCCCCTGAACGCGGACCGGTTCTGCTGCTCGCCGTCCTGTTGGACCGTAACCTGCGCGCGGCCTGCGGCGAATGATGACATCAGCGCGTGACAGTCTCCGCTCTCTGCGCGTGAGCTGATCGATCGCATCTGAAGGTAATTGATTCGGTGACTGTGAGGCCAATCAGAGTGATTGATCAGCTACAGATGATCAATCCATGCTGATCTCTGATTGGCTCTCTGCTTGCAAATCCTCTGCATCTCCTCTGACGTCATTGATTATTGATCCTCAACATCAGATTGATTGGCGTTCCAATCTGATCCATATAGATAATAAACATAGATAGATAATCAAATCTTTAAAGAGAATCACTTCCAGACTGGATCAGAACCAGAACCTGTGAACTATCTGAGCTGGATTTGGTTCTCAGAAGTTGAAGCATCTGAACCAAGTCTAGGTTTTTGATGCTGATGTTTGTTCAGGGATAGCGTATGGAACCTGGCCAGTGATGTTGGTCCTGGTCTCTGTCTCCCAGTGGTCCCAGTGGAGTCCAGATGCTGCCAGCCTCCATCCAGATCACCGGGGAGCTGCTGTCCGCCGCTGAGGTCCAGGACATCTGTGAGAGCCTGAAGGAGGACGGCGTCCGGCTGCTGTCCGTCCGCGGCTGCCAGCTCTCAGACCGGGACTTTGGCCGCGTCTGCGCCAGCGTCGCAGAGTCGCGCTCCCTCGCTCAACTCAACCTCAACCTGGGCGTGGTGTCCAGCATCAGCCGGACGCGCCACCTAGCGGACGCCCTGAAGACCAACCGCTCCCTGCAGACCCTGTTGTGAGTACAGGTACCTGATTGGCTGGTGGAAATGTTCAGGAAGGGTTTGTGACATGTAGTCTCCGCCCAACTTCAGCCTCCATGGGAGTCCGCTGCTGGATGCTGGCCTGGTGGCTCTGAACCCGGCACTGTCCACCCACCCGACCCTGGTCTGCCTGGACCTGGGAGACTGCATGCTGGGGGAGGAGGCCCTGGCTCTGATCTGTGGGATGCTGCCACCAGATGGAGCCAAGTCAGGTAGGGAAGGGCAAACGCTTGGGTTCTCCTGTGGTCGGTGAACGCAGCACCAGGTTCACATTGAACTCATCACAGCCTTGGGTATCTTCCAGGTAATCCTGGTCACCTGATCAGCTTCTGGACTGCACAGGAGGATTAATTATGAATGAGATGAGAGGACGTTTCTATTTCCCTCTGTGTTCTCACTCTGTTTATTCCAGTAAAAGACCAGTTACAGAATAGTTATAGACCAGGAACCGTTGAGTTTCAGATCAGTTACATACCAGTTACAGGCCAATTACAGACCAGAAACTGGTGAGTTACAGGCCAGTTACAGACCACTTACAGACCAGTTACAGGCCAA